CCGGTTCTGTGTATCTCACGCAGACTCACGACTGCCGAACGTGGGTAGTCCCAAACTTAACGAGAAGCTCTAGCTGTCTATTGGGCTGTCACGCGTATGCATAAGTATGTTTGTGGTACCCATTTAACATTGCGAGTGATCATGAAATCCTGCAGTTCATTTACAACACTCAACGTTCCCTGGTTAAGTCATCTGCAGCCATGGTACAACGGTGGAATATTGTGTTGTCTGCCTATTCCTACGAAATCCATCATCGCAGTGTACAGTCCATTCCACATGCAGACTATCTATCACGATACGCCATTTCAGAGGAGGCTCCTACGGGTGATTGTCTTCTCACTCAACCGCTCCCGGTAAGCCGGTCTGATTTAGTCCGCGAGACCAGGAAATATTACCACGCTATCAGTCAGTCGAAATGTGCAGACCTCGGGAAGTCATTGGGTAGTCATTTGAGGACTGGCACGTTTCTGAAGCCAAATTCGTATTTAAACATAGCGGTTTGGAGATGACATTTTTCCGCTTGTTGTTTTGCACCGAACGAGTAGGGACGTACGGAATTGAACTGCTGTGGGAACGACCAGATCCTCCCCGGAAACGGAACTGCACGAAACGTTGGAAATGCGCTCTTGGGTATGCGCTGAATAGTAGTCGTCATTCGTAAGGTTTTTTGCTGAAATGTTACAACGTCCGGTTTTTATGGATGAAATGATGTAATTATTATCAATGTTCTCCACTCCATCGGGTTCAAGAGAAAACTCATTCAAGCAATCAGGTAGAAACCTGCGTGTAGGTCCAACAGAACTTGTACTGCAGTTAGACGGCTTCAACGAAGGCCAAATAGTACAAACAGAGTGCAAGCGATACACATGAGCAAAGTGGCCACAACAATTACCACGCTATCATTTCCTGTGTCCGTCGAGGTTGGCGAGGTGATATTAAGCGTCGATTTCCGGAATTCTATAAACGTCGTGAGGAAATTTTCGTGACGTGTGATCGTGTCTTGTGCCACAACGATCGCATTACCGTACCTCCGACATAACGTACTGCTGTTCTCAATAACTCACATTCCGGTCATCTCGGCATTGAAAAGATGAAATCTCTTGCTCATCTCACATGCTGGTGGCCTGAATTGAATCATGATCTGAATAGTGTTGCAAAATCCTCTGCTGATTGTATGCACAAAACTCACAGATAGCCTTCGAAACGGACTCCGTGGCCAACCTCGTCCGAGTCCTAGCAGCGAATACATATAGATTACTGTGGTGCATTCTTCAACAAGTATTACGCATTGGTGATCGTCGATTCATACACCCGTTGGCCGGAAGTCTAATTTACTACATCGCCCAGTTCAGAATTTAATATTCGACCACTCAGGAAAACCTTTAGTAGAGAAGGTGTCCCGCATGCTGTCGTGACTGACAATGGAAGTCATTTCACTGCCAAGAACGTTACTGATTGGTTGAACTCCGTGAGTTGTCGGCATGTCCTCACTCCACCCCAACATCCGCAATCCAATGGCGCAGCCGAAAACTTTGTACGCACGCTGAAGAGTGCCATTGCTTCCGTAAATCCCAGTACATTCGATGAACTGACCAGAGGTGTTGATAACTTTCTGATGAAATACCGTAACGCAGTACATTCAACTACGGGACACAGTCCAGCAAAGCTGTTTAAGAGTCGAGTAATTCGAACAAATCTTCTACATTTGGAGTCTGCGGAAGTCGTGTATCATCGTGGTGACGATTTGCGACTCTCCAGGGGCATTGTACTGGTCAATATGGGACGAGGAGTATGTCGCATACTGGATCTAGATGATCGCACTGTACATCGCAGACATGTAGACCAAGTAATTTGTAATTTGCCCAATCCTGATACTAGTTGTGAGTCTACTAATCCTTTTATTTCTGAGTCTTGTCCAGATGAATTACATCCCAGTACAAATGTTGAAAACAGTACAGAAGAACCCAGAAGATCTGAACGATTACTCAACAAAGCCCGCCGTGATTACAGAAGACCGGAGCTTCATTCAAGCTGCGGCGGATGTGGTCATTACTCATGAACTATGAACTCCTTTGTTTTATTGAACACGATATCTTTGTATATTCCGAATTTCCGCTTATTACAGTTCCATTCCGTTGTTGAGTTCTGTGTTCTGATTTCATTTCGAGTCCCGGTTCTGGGTTGGACTAGTAGTGCGTGGAATCCGATACGTATACAAAATACTAGTCCGAGTGCTAACCACAACAGGTTCGCTTATAAGAGTGTAGTGCGACAATGACGGGAACACCAATGGTGCTGTGGTTCTTTTCCAATCAGATCATGTTTTAGCCAGATCAGTATGAGTTCTGCATCACACGTTTTTCTGTTCCCGGACTTGGTAGAGCAATGTCTACAGTGGCATTGGCGGTGGTCTGATTGTCTGACTGATTGATTCTTCGTATGTGATGACTGCGAGTATAAGAAGGTGGGGTTCACAAGTGGTGTGCAGGTGGCGAACTATGACCCCAAAATTTAGAGAAATCTGTACAAAATTCCGAATTCTGATGTCTCATTTTGTGTATACTTTTTTCTGTGTTCCTGTGGAACAAAGTACATGGGGCCGCACGGTTCGGCGTTTGTCCGAATGATTCCGTGCCCACTACCTTGCATGATTAAATACGAGAACGATTAGATCACACAATTGTTTCACATCTAGTTGAGACAAATCGCACTGAGAATATGTCCGAGATATTCTGCTTCTTGTACGTGGTCCACTGTGGTCCACTGTCAAGGTGTGCCCAAACCAATAATTGCAGGCGCCTGAGCTCCCTGGACCAACCCCCTCACCCCCCTCCCACACACACACCATATCCTTGAGTAGTCCCAACGACCGGATGATCTAAAAATTATGTGATTATTGAAAATCCTATATCCGGTCCCAAAAGGAAATTAGCCCCCCTCACAATAACCTATGATGTTAATTTTCCCTTTCCAGTAAAATTTGTTTGATCTTTTTATAGTTGAGTACTGGTACTGATATAAACACCGTAATAGTAAAGTTTTGTCAAGGGTATTTAACGAACTCATACTAAGATGTGCTTGAACGCACAGCTTTTGTACAACCGTGAAATTTTTATAGTAGCAGGCTTGGATAAGCCCATTCGATTGTTAAGAGCCAAGACTATCAAGAGTGCCTGGTGCCTCTTGTCACTCGAATGGGCTAATCCAAGCTTGCTACTCTAAAAATGTTTGAAGCGATTCGTACAAGGTGATGACCGCTGACCGTGTAGGGGTTTGCGGTTCGAGTCCTGACAGGGACAAGAAAATTACACAGTGCTAACGAGTCCGAAACAGGACAAAACAGCTGTTCAGTGCTCTCTCTCTGTCGGTTATCACAAACATTTCAATCGTCAAAGTTGTTGTGATGACTGTGAATCACTGAAAACGAGTTTGATACTCTCTTTGTTCTCAAACACACCTTGTTCTGTTTGAAATGTGCTCTATGGAACTGTTTAACCACTTAACTCTGCACAAAACAGGTATGAACCGTACCAGTGTGGCTATATACTGATGGAGAGAAGAATGTGTTCGGTTTCCTCGTCTATGCAAGAACCACTTAAGAATTCGAACTTGTTGTTCTTATCTGTCCATGGCCGTGTGTGCGATTATCGGCACAGTATCTCATACAGCTCAAGGCTATTCGGATAACCTGATAACTACTCTATATTTAGAACAGTTTCTCATTATCAATGAAAACTAAAAATAGTTTTGAGCTATAAAATGTGTCAGGGGTTCAACCTCCTTAGCACATCTTGCCCCTGTCTGCAACAGCATACCATTTTTGCATACAATCAAATGGTTTTCTTTTTCAAAACTTGTCTGGGTCATGGATCCTGCTGAATGGGTTTTCGGCTGCGAAAACATTGTACATCTGTGTGATCAATTCATTCCCAGTGGTTTCAAATCACAGGGTAACCGTGATCAGACTCTTATATTTTTTAACTGAATTGTGAAAAAAGGAACGAGATCAAGGAATTTTCATTTTTTATTATTCATACAGTTAGGCATTGTCTTGTTTCCCGTGCCAATTCACCCGGGCACTCATCTGTATCCGTTTGTCATCGTGTGGTCTACAAAATTATTCTGACGTACTTTTCGACTCTGCGACAGATTAATCGGATTTAGGCATTGGATTGTCATATCTTACGAAGTCTTGAAACGTTCGTGAATATATTTCCAGAGTTAAATATCTATCAGTCTGGTACAGGTACATTATTCTGTTCTTGAGCACAGAACATGTTGTACAATGCAACCATTTCACTGCTCATCCCCGGTCGGTCACATAAAATATGGAAATTTGTTTACTCTAACAAAATATAAAAGTATACAATGAGTCTTAATAATATCGTTTTTTCCTGACATAATTACGACAAGATGACCGGATGGCATACGCCAAACCGGTTGTCCAGTTTTGTTCCAGTATACTTTACACAAATGGATTCGTTAGTTATCTCTTCCGCAAGACATGAATGATTTGCACACCAGACCTATTGCACACAGGAGGGAGTCAGTTTGACCAAGAAAATTAAATCTGCCAAGGGCTATTGGGAAAACAGCAAAACAAAAAGAGAAAACTACCCGATTCCAAAGACAGATGGAAATCTCACAGCAGTATTTCTGTTTTTCAAATAAGGTCAAATATCCAGTCTCACGCATCAGAAATTTTAACCTCGTTTGAGACAGTTCAGTTAAATAGAACGCGAAAAGCATTAGAGGTTTGAGCTTTCATGAGCAGTCTGATACCCCGACTGATTGGAATTCTTCACATATCACATAGCAATTCACTCACAGCTACATTGACCTCAGCATCAGCAAAATGGATCGATGTTCAGAGCAACCAGTAGCAGAACACATGTGGTTGGTGACCTGGATTGCTCAACGCATCCCAAACGACGCAGGAAAAACAGAGCCGGCCCGGTGAACCGCACGACACTAAAAGGTTGACGTGGTTGGATCGTTCAAAGTTTCAATCGAAAATTGTTGGCGTTTCTGAAACGATGCTACTCACAGCACACCACACACTCGTATTAGCACAAAAGCAAGTAACTAATAATGTCTCTTCACCTTGGCACTGATCAAACTCGAATCAATTTCCTATCCTTTTTATAGTCAGGTTATTCATTTGATGAACATCATACTTATGTTCATCATATTCTGCACTATTTTTATCGTTTATTGAGTGGCGTGTTTTACGTGAGTGACAAATTAATGTAAACAAAAAATATCTGTACCTCGTAACATCTGTCTTCATATTCTTCTCATGTATTTGCGCGACGTCCATTTGCCACTAGGTCAATAGCAAAAATACAAAACACGTAAATACCAATAGTTGGCCACGGGTAACTATCTGGGGTTACAGTTGGGGTAGAAATCAAAAGGTCACGTGACTTTCGGTTCGGACTCGCTTCGGACTACCGATACATGAACATAGAGGATGAATTAAACGAGAATGAGTATTTGTGAGTCCGATTTATAGAGCTCCTTCATCCATGATCAACATTTGCGGTACCGTTTCGTGCAAATAAGTACAATGCGTCACGTTTCCGGCGTGATGCAACTGCCCTCGCATGAGGAGATAAATTCTAATTCTCTGTCTAAACCTTCGATGCACTACCAATCAAAACCATTAGCAAATAAATAACAATGACATGAGTATATTTGCAAGAATATAGCATCAACCATTACTCTCGCACTCTGGGTGATATCATAATGCTTTGTTGATCAATCTGTTCATCTGCTAGTACACAACAGATCAGAAACCGTATGACTCCATCTGTTTATGCATGTCCCATATGGCTCATGATCTGAATAGTGTTGCAAAATCCTCTGCTGATTGTATGCACAAAACTCACAGATAGCCTTCGAAACGG